CCCAAAATCTTCTGATATCCTTAAGTTTCTCATTTCAAATATCCATTCAGTGAAAAAAAAAAAGTTACTTTTTTCTACAGCACTCATATACCTGCATAATATAAAGTTTAATATGTCATGTTTAGTGATTGTTTTCAAAAAAGCTCTATATTTTTTCAAGTTACAACCCACAACAGTATAATCTGGAATAAAAAGACATACTATGGGCCCTTCAAAGGTGTCTGAGTGAAAAAGATGGAGTGCATCCTAGGCTGAGCAGTTTTATCAGGCAAAAGAAGTGAGAGCAAATATAGCCTTATTAAACATTGGACCTTGCCTTTCAGTGCCCTGAAAAAACATTTTAAGTAACACTATTTAAATATAGTATTGTTTCAAGGGATTGTACTAATAACTGCATTGCTCTCAGCTTTCAGAGTCAAGATGAGTATGGCACTGAAGTTTTCTCTGTGTGTTAGTGCTCCTTGGAATGGAAACTGAAGAGCTGAGGCCAAAAAAATTGCTTCATTCACACTGACATGAAAACTTGGCCTTTCTGCTCTGAAGAACAGTGGCAGAGGGTCACAGTCTGTCATAAATTTTTGTGTGACAGAATTCCATCTTCTAGTAATTTCAGCAGTCTCTTCAGATTATTAAGTTCACTAGGTTTACTCATGCCACAGAAGCACCAAACATTCTTGGATTAGTCTCCATGAGATTCTTAATCACAAGTCCAAGTTCCTGAATACTGAAAACTCTGGAGCAATATAAAATGTGATGTTTACAAATTCTCATTGAAATTCACAAGAAATGAAAGTCAGTTTCACGTGCTGTTATATAAAGAATGCAGGTCACTAAGAGCTTAAAATCTGAGTAAAGGAACCATAAGGGAAAGCTTTACTCCACAACAACAGTGCTTCTCAAAGTAGCTCCAAGTGATTTAACAAGAGAGTCCATGAAGCAACAAGCTTCCCAGTGAAGGCAGAGCTATTCAAGATTCTCCATCCTCAATCCCTCTAAATCACACTACAACTTCAAGTAGCAATATATAAAATGAAACAAAATATTTGGCAGAGATAAGAATTGGAATGTATCTAAAAATGCATCTTTTATGAACATGCCTGATTTCTTCAGAAGTCTCAATTCAAGTTATTCCAAGATAAATCCTTTGAGAGGCTAAATCAGTGCTCTCAAAGACTTAATGAGTATTGAAATTGATGAACTTCTTCCTGCCTCATTGAATCAGGAAACACTGAACTCCTTGACCAGACACCTGAGAAGGCACCAGATTTCAATCTGCAGTCCACATTCTAAATCTCATACACCAAGATGAAAGCAACTTCATTCTAAAGCACAAAACACGTTTTATTTTTCCCAGCATTGAACTCCTTCATTAAAAAGCTTTGATAGAGGTATTAAAAAAACAACACTACTCAGTAAAAGCACCCTTCAAAGTATGCAGGAAAGTGTAGTCTGTGTACTAGCATAAAAGTGCTAGACATTTAAAATTTTAAGCATAGCAACTGCCTTGATCTACACCTTAAACACAGGTTTATTCAAACCCACCCACCAAGTATCTGTTACCAGAGCCCATTGCAAATCATGTTGCCTTTCCTTCTGAAGAACCCAAGTTTTCAGTAGAGTACCCTAATAAAACAAGCATTTGCTTGGCACACACCTACTATGGAAAGCACAAAAATCTACCCTAAGGCTGCAGTATATTTTATGTCCTACATGTCAAAGATTATAATTCCTAACTAGCTATCTTTCCCTGGAATTTTGAAACTACAAATTACGGTAGAGATTATCTTTGCTCTTATCAATCAACATCATCTGATTTCTCCTTTATGAATAACTATTAGTTACTTATTAGTTTTAAACATACCTGTATATTAAAGATGTATATACAATAAAGTACTGTATATATCACCTGTATATTAATCTGTAAGGATGAACATTATTCTTTTGTAAACGTGGTTGGGAAGAAATCCGTAAATAATAAAAACCTCTTTCCCTTTCCTCTGACATAATTCCTAAGAGGCCATAGGTTGCATCAACTTTTGAGAAAGTACGAAGTATAAAGGTCTATATTCACTAATATGGTTTTTATCTGAGATTATTACTGAGGAAAATAATTTCAGAAAAACCAGTTTCCGCCAAAGCAGAGGTTAAAAATAGCCAGAAAATACTATACAGATGGCTAAACAGATCTAACACACTGCTGTGCAGAGACACAGATTAGTCTACCTCTAGGACACTGCTCTTCTCCACAGACATTATCTTTGGATACACGTAGAAGAACAAGAATTGCGGGGGTGAAGAAGAATGAGATTATTTTTTTTCAATCCTTTCTGTGTCTTTTTATAACACTATACTGAGTTCTGCTGCAGGTTTTGAAACTGAGGGTTTCACTCTGCATACACAATTTGAACAAAGAGCAAGACAAAAAGATGGCAGCAGCCTCCTACTCTGAACACCTCCTCACTTTGTCAAGAAGGGAAAGATAAATCAAAGAAAAACAATACCTAAATTCTAAACAGTAACAAATCCTCAGGATGTAATTTCATTCTTTCTTTCTTTTTTTCCTTCATGTTGAAGGCTCCTAGATACCCACGAGACTGGAGAACTTAATCTTCTTATTCCTCCAAACCTTGTAAAAACAGCTTTGGTACTGAAACCACAACTTCTCAGCTAGAACAAAGTGCTCAGAGTAAGTAAAAGGAAAAAAAAATGCTCTCTACCCCATTCTGTCTCCCATTTTAAAAGTTAGTCCTCTTTAGCAATTGAGTTTGAATATTACGTTACCTAGCAATAGGTAAATTCTGTTTCTGAAAAGTTTAAAATTATCTTCTATTTGTTTTCAGGAACTATGAGACTTGCTGATGTGTATTTTTCCTATATGACTGAGAGTCCACATAAAAATAATGTCCTTTCAATGCCCCCCCAAAAAATGAAGCTTGGTCTTAATGCAAGTGAAGCATACAAGGCACAGCTGTGATGGGCATTTGGCCATTTCATGAAGATTACCCCTGATTCTGTAAAGAAAGGGAATTTAGGGCACAATTTAGTGAGCAGCTGGAAAACAAACAATGCATTTAGTCAAAATCTCAGCAACAGTAAGCCAGAAATTACAGTAAGCAAAATATTAAATTTTAAATCAAGACTGATATAAAATACTAAATTAAAAGGAAAAAAGACACAACGTTTTTTGCTGCTGAGATCAGTGTCCATGAACTTCGGAGTACCAGATGCTCAGCTTCTTCTCAATACCTCATGGTAAGATGGTGAATTCTTGATTACCATTTATGTTTACTTAGTTTTGCTGTAGCCTTTTGCTCAAGATTTCATATTATCCTTCCCCGTTCCTAAAAGTTTTAGGCTGAGAAAAGCAGTCTGAACTCAGGTACATTTTGTACAAAGCACACTGCATTTGAGAACTCTGGGAAAGCCACAGTCATGTTAGTCAATGCTGTACAGGTTACCCAGCTCCATAAAAGCATCATCTCCTCCAAAGCCTGATGACTGGCAAGGTACCTCAATCATCAGGATTTCTCAGGAATAAGGAGATGAGAACAATAATCTTCTCAAAAAGTAACTGTCAAAACTCACTTAGTTTTTACAAAGTTTTATGACTTGTGCAAACACAGTTTCATAAATCACAAGTCAAAGAACCTGAACATAGTTAAAGTTGGCAGACATTGTTGAGAGAGAAACTGAACACTAAACAAGTTTCAAAGGATGGCCTTGCCAAATAAGACTGGATACTTTGGAGAAATAGAACTATGAAAGATGCATTGCAGTGGGACCCATGAGGGGCAGTTTTAGATGGTTGGCTTTAAGGCATGGTGTAGCTAAAGCTGACAGGCCAAGAAACACTTGAAATGTCTTGTAATTAGGAAATAGTTGGCTTCTGATTGTGATGGTATCAATTATAACAGCTGTATTCCCACCCTTCATGTGAGACTGAAAACGGAATAAACGTTTTTAAAATGCCTCTCAGTTGCCCCATCTCTGGGTCAGAAAAGGGTATAATCTGACAAATGAAAGTTGGTTTTGGGGTTTTTTAAACATTATTACAGAACAGCTGCATTTTTTCCGAAGAGCCTTGACAACAATTCTGGAGCTTGCTAATCATTGCCATAATGTAAGAAATGTTGTCTTATGAAAAAGGACTAACACTGTAGCTTCGAGGCTTCTAATGCTTTTACAAATGTAGACTTGACAGTTGAAAAAATACATTTTTATACTAATTAATTACCTTTGAGCCTGAATAAACTAGACTTTTTACAGTCTGAGACAGCACCACTCATTATTGCACACAAGTCTGGCATTAAATGCAAAACCTCTACAGCAAGGAAGTAAATTTATTATGGGATTACCAGAATGGAAAAAGCACTTTGAATTATTTATTTTCAACTAACCAGTCAAAGAGAAGCACTTGAATGAGGCAAAATCCAATATGTGACCTCATGATTTATGTATAAAGAATACCATTTCCTATCATAATTTATACCATACTGCACTATAAGAATTTTTTAAAAAGTTTGTCAATAACTGAAAGAGAACAAAGTGAGAGAAATCTTGGTTCATCTGATCATTGAAGTAGAATTAGACATAAAAAATATAGAAAAATATTGGTGCCATAGTCAAGAAATAAATAAAAAAAGTTCATTGAGAGAATTACCTTTTTTCTAACATGAACACAATACAGGTTTTATGGTGATGGTAATCACAACTGGAAATTCACCTTTATATTTGCTGACCATCAAAGAGCTTCTGTTTGGCAATTAAAATCCCAGACAAAAAAAAGCAACTCAATACACAGACTGAACCTAAGTTGTATCTGCACCTACAACACCAGAGCCCTGCTCACAATTACAGCTAATATTCTTCCTCTACTTTTGTACTTGGCTAACAGGATGACACGAAGACTAAAACCTAAAAACAAACCTACTAACAACCGCAGTGAACTCTAGAGGCTGAACGACCTGTCCTATCACGCATGTAGGCATCTTTAGACTCACCTGTACGGTGAGAACCAAAGCAGCACCTCCCTTCGGCAAGAAAAACTTGGGCGGGGCCGGGCCGGGCCCTTGGGCCCCCAGCTCCGGGGCGCGGACAGCTCCGGGCTCGGCCCCGCCGCAGCCGCATTGACGCCCAGCAAAGCATCCGAGAGCATCGGTGCGCCTCCGGAGCAGGAGCGGCCACGGCCGCATGCCGGCACCCCGGGCAGGGTGCGGGCACACACACAGAACGCGCCGGCACCCGCGGGCGATCCCGCACGGACACGGCGGCCAGACCTGCGCGTCCCCCCTGAGGCTGCCCTCCCTCAGGCTGCCCTCCCCTGAGGATGGCATCCCTCAGGCTGCCCCCGCTGTGGCTGGCATCCCTCAAGCTGCCCCCCCCCTGAGGCTGCCCTCCCTCAGGCTGCCCCCGCTGTGGCTGGCATCCCTCAGGCTGCCCTCACCGCAGCTGCCCCCCCCTGAGGCTGCCCTCCCTCAGGCTGCCCCCGCTGTGGCTGGCATGCCTCAGGCTGCCCTCACCGCAGCTGCCCCCCCTGAGGCTGCCCTCCCCGTGCCCCCGCTCCCGCCGGGCGGGCAGGTGCGGTGGCCTCCCGATGGGTGCGCACGGCGGGGCTCGTACTGACCTTTCTGCTGCCGAAAGGACTGGATGGAGCCCGAGTGGTGAACCATGCTGGCGGAGCGCAGCCTCCCAGCTGCCAGCCCGCCGGCTGCGGCGGCGGGGGGCGGGCACCCAGCGGCGCGGCCCGGCCCGGCCCGGCGCGGCCCGCCGCGCAGCGGAGGCCGGGGGAACGAAGGGCCCGGGGAATGGCGCCGGCAGCGGCCGCGGGGGAGGCGGTCACGCCGGGCCCGGGGGGCGAGGGGCGGGTGCGGAGCCGGGGCTGCGCCTCCGCCCGCAGCCCGGGCCGGGAATGGTGCCAGCGGGAATCGGTGGGAAAGGCTGCGCGCACCCCGCTGAGGAGGAGCGCTGGCCGCAGCCCCGTTATCCCTATTGCCTGGCTGTGCCCTCGTCTCCCTTTTTAGAAGACATCAGGTGTTCCTATTGAGGTGAAGGGCAACGAAGTAAAAATTGCATCTCCTTTACGCGGCTGCGTTTAAATCTCAAGGTTGTGAGTTAAGTTGCTGTTACATCGCCTCCATCCCCGTCCTCACACCGCATCCCTAAGTTGCATCACAGCTTTTTTATTTCTATGTATTTTATAAAACTTAGAGTCTCAACCTCACTGCAGATGATTTTTTACATGATACTAAATTACAAATTCAAGCCTGATGTGGCCCATTTCTATGCTATTTGTATCATAATTTCCCCTTTCTCTACGGTGTGTGCCAGTAGCTCATTCTAGACAAAAGAAGATTCAAACTAAAAAGGGTTTTATTTCTTTCCTTGTTACTCTCTGCTCACATTATTCTCTCTGGATGCTGAATAAGTTCTATGGTAGCATCCTTCAATTCCTGTACAATGTTTTGGGTTTCTTTTTTAATTTTTTTTTCTACCACAATAATCTGGGGGGTTTTGTCCTCCTAAATTATTTCAGTCAAATATTCTAGCCTGCATCTAGGAGTATCTATATCCTCTTCTCCATTTAGGGATACAAGCATTATTTACTCATCAGAAGTTAATTCAATCACCTAACTAGCTCAGGTTACTACAGTATCCTTTAAAGTCTGTGGCTCCATTTGTGTCCTGTCAGATTTCCTCTGACAGTAAAGGCAGAACTTCCCCATAGCTGACTGGGGCTTGTCATGTACAATCTGCTAAAAAAATTACATAAATGCCACCTCATACTATGGTCTGTACTATAAATTGTACTACTTTGTCTATATGGGTGTAGTTAACCAAACAAGATGGATACACACCTTTTTTTGTGTGTGTAAGAATGTTTTTTCGCTATGAAAACATATTAAACAACCATATATAGACCAATAAATCCATGCATGTAGAAAGGCAGGCAAAATAAAAATTGCATCCTAACTGGTGAGGTATTCCCCAGCACTTTTTTTAGAGTACAACAGATATTGCTCTTACATAACATGCAGCTGACACATCCATAAGGGGAAAAAATAAACTTACCTCCTCAGGATAGCTGACCACATTTCGGGTTGCTTTGCAACATTTGCAGAAGGTTTCTTGTTAGTTTAAGAAAAGATGCAGAAGCTATAGTGCTATAGTATGCATCTTACTCATTTTTTGGTCTCCAGTGGCAGCCTGCACAGTGAAGGTAACAGATGAGGCATTCCTCTGCACTCCTGCAATTTTAGAAAAGCTCCTCAGAACAGCTTTTTCCTGCTGAGATACAGCACTATAAATGTTGCATGGCAGAATAAGTCAGCCAGCTGACTTGCTGATCAACAAGTTCTGGCAAACTAAAAGCAAGCTAAAAAAAGAGGTAGAATAAAATCTTTGTTGTTTACTTTCAAGCTTTAATGTAGACATCAGAGTGGATTCATAGAGATTAAAACCAAATCTATACCCTGAAAGTCAGCCAGAAAAAAACAAAAATAGAATATCATAAAAACTTAATAAACATATGCAATCTGTAGCAAGCAAAGGTAGCTCTTCCACTGTAAGGGTCTAAACCTTTGTCAGGTTCTAGGACAGATCTATTCTTTGGGAAACCTTGGCTGACACTTTTTGACTTGCCTATGAAGCAGAAGAGCAGTGTGCATTGTGCTCCTTCTCTTAGCAGCACAAAATAAACGAGGGCCATTGCTGGCTCTCCAATGATGGTAATTACAAAATGCAGAGGGGAAGGAGAGGGGCTCCCAAGTAAAATTACAGAGGAAAGAGATTATCATACTCAGTCTTGGAAAAGAGGCTGTCAGCTGCCTGGTATTCAGGGCCATCCTTCTAATTTCTGGTCCACAATCCACAAGGATTTACAGAACTCCTGAATTCAAGCAGATTTCACTGACACTAGTAGATTTCAAGTAGATTTCACTGACATAATACACAAAATGATGGGAAGGCAGGGTAAGGCAGTGCTCAGAAATCCTGTACTGGATTAAATGCTGAGACTAGAAAATTATAAATTATATAGATTATAATTATAAAGCTCTATTTCTAACAGTAGGTGGTATGTATGCATGAAACTACAGGTAAGACATTTGAGGCTAAGGTCTGCAAAAGAGAAGAAAACCTACCTCTACAAAGGTAATTAATTTAATTTTTAAATTAAATCCTTCACACTGTCAACTGACTAAACTTAATAATTGTAAAATGTGATCATATAAGGATCTTGAAATATAGTCCTTTGGTAAGTAAGGAGAGCTTGAAGATCTTTTTAGAGTGCAGATAACAGAACAATGAAGAATTGATGGCTAAGATATGTAAGAAATGCATACATTCATAGGCTTCATATGCCTTGGCTACATTGGCTTTGAAGGCCATTGAAATAAAAATCTACCCTCATAAGCACTGTCTAATGAAATATTTAGTGCTATTATGCTATGTCTCACAATTATCTCTTAGTAAGTTTTTATAAATCACTTCTAAAACCAATGAAAGATGGAGAGATCAGGATCAAACAGAACTAGGTTAAAATCTTCTACCTTGACAATCAACAGAACCAAAATCATGACTTAAAAACTTAAGGTTGATCACACTGAATATTTAACCAAAGTTTTAGGTTTTTAGTTTTGACAGTGAGATTAATTCTCTGTGAGAGACATCATTTTTCATGAGATATTTCCTTATATCTTCTGACAAAGACTAAGATTTGGTCTTGCTTCATCATAATACATCTGGCTTTGTGAAAATCTGTATTATTTGAGATCTGAAAAACTTGGAAATTATAAGAACAGGAGGACTGAGTTGTTTTGCCACTAGAACAGGCTATGAGAAAGACATGCTTTAAATTAATTTTTGTACTTTTACAGTGCTTTTCAGAAAGTCAGATGAAATAGAACCCTAAATTAAAGCCTAATTCACCTGTGTTGTGTCTTTGCCAATTATTTCCTTAAGAAATATAGCCACCTCAAAAGTTGACTATAGCCAGTGTTAAGCATTGCCCAGAAAGAAAAGGGAACTTACTCCAAAGAAACTCATGAGGCTCAGCAAGTGCAAAATCCTGCCCCTGAAAAATCCCCATACATAATTCATGCTGAGCAGCAGCTCTAGCAGAAAGGACCTGAAGGGAAGCACTACCTTGAACACCAGCCAACTGTGCACTTCCATCATAAATAAAGAAACCTTAGGAGAAATGGAGCCAGCAGATGAAATTGGTATTAATCCCCTTTACTTGGCATGACTGCAGCTGTACCTGCAATTTTGTGTCTAGCTTTCCCACTTCACGCCCATTCAATTCAGGAAAGGTATTAGAAAATTGGAAAAGGTTCATAAAATGTTACTTAAGAAGGTCAGGGGTCTATAGTAAATAAACTGTGAGAAGTTGAATAAACTAGGCTAATTTAATATGAAAAATAAACTAAGGAGTTCCAGGAGCCTACCACTACTGGGAAACCACTTGCAAAGGTTACAGTAATGAACCCTTTATAGTCCTAAATGATCTGCTTAGTGACAATAGCCACACATCATGGCATGGGAGGCCCAGACTGAGCACTAGTAATGAGTTTTTACACATTGGTGAAACATCATCAGAGCATGTAACCCAAAAAGAGGTGAAATACCTGTCCTTGAAGGTTTTCAAAATATGCCTTGACAAAGCTGTGTCTGACCCAGTCTTGTGATGGAAATGGTAAAGCTGCAGAACAGGAGGTTGGGTCTGCAAGGGCTATAATAAAGGATGTAATAAAAATAAAATTCAAAGGAGTTGGAGCCAGATGGATTCAAAACAGGAAGTAGACACACAATTCCAAATTGTAATTAAAATAAGTCCTAAAGTTAATTTTTCATATCTACAGTAAAGGATTTTGTTGACTATATGCTTATGCAGCTTTTCAAAGGACATAACAGTAAGATGATATTACATCAAATATCTAATTTCTTAAATTCTTGTGGAGTACAGTTTCTTATAAATTTGCAAAAAAGGTTTTAAGACAGGATGATTCTTTAGTGTAAAATGTTTGAATAAGAGCATTAAATATTTACAACAGCACCCAAATTTACTTATTTTTTTATCAATTTTTATCTAATACATTTAAATAGTATGAAAATCAGTGTTTACAGAATTGTTGAGTCCACCTCTCAAGAAGAACAGCTCTGTACTACTTAATCTTCTGCAATGCAAGAATCAT